TTCAGAAACTACTTGCAAATCACAGTGTTCACTTATTGTGGTATGAGTTCCCTGAGACCCACTCCCCACTACCACTCTATATGACAGTGCAGCGGGTACATGTGTGTACCCCCTGAGTTCAAGCAAGATACAGTAACAGCAATGAGGAGAATAGAGAAAAGTAGAACGAAATAAGATGGACAAAAATTTACAAATAATAAAAAATGAAGAAAACACAGAACAATTAAACAATGAAAGTAGAAATCAGAACAAAAAACAGTTGAACACACAGACACACAAACACACCAAAACAAATGAATAACACCAAAACAAAAAAGAACAACAAAAAAAAAACCCCAGGAAAATCAAACACACAAAAAATAAAATCGGGGGAATGCAGATCAAACTCTCACATGCACAGTCATGCACAAAAGGAAAATATAAAAAATTTAAAAATCTAATGAACAGGAAAAAAACCCCTGCCCTCTTGCAGCAGGTTCTATAATTGTTCCTCTCAGCTGCTTCTCTGCTGTCTCCTGCAGAGCTTTGACCTCATTCACAATCTCCCCCGTGTCCCACCCAGGGAAGGAGGTGAGGGCAGTGGGGGGGGGTGGGACTTCAGTCCTCCCTTCCCACTCCCCTGTGGTCAGGGTGATTCTTCCAGTGGGGAGGTGCAGAATTATCTTCTCCCAAGTACTGGCAGGGTGAGCGTATGCCCCAGCCAGGCTTATTCTGGAGTAGAGGCCGCCTCTTATGGTTGACCAGGCTCCGCCTTGGTGTATTTCTCTGTCATGCCCCAGCCATATGGTCTGATATTCAGAGTATTACTGGGGAGGAGGGGATTAGGCAAGCCCTGGACTTACCACTGATCTGATCTCTTTGGAGGTCTTACTAATCCTTTTCTGGCCACACCCTTTGCCCTGAGACTGAATCAGGGTAGGGATGGGGGGCCGGAGACTCGGCACTCTTCCAGCCCCTCCCGAGTCTGTGACTTCAAGGTGTTCCCTCTGGGTCATGATCCGCCCGAGTGGTTGATCATCCCGTCACAGAGAGCGGGTCTGTTGCTCCGTGGTGAACAAGCTGGAGCACTCTCCTGCCCAGGTTTCAGGATGGTGGCAGGGTGCCTCTTTCATCTTCTCCATTGAGGCTCTGCCGCTGGGCTCCCTCCACAGCCCTTACTGCCAGTGTCTGGCCAAGCACTGTAGCGGTGAGGCAAATCCTGGAACTGGCAGTCTCTCCCGCTGCAGTGAAGCAGAGCCTGGAGCTGGCAGTCTCTCCTGGCAGCTTCTTCCTGGGAAGGCCTCGGTTGGTTTAAAAAATTGGTGCTTCGCTTCTGTGACCCAGGAAGCACTAGGAACCAAGCAGAGCCGCTGCGGCTTTGCCAGGAGAGCCCTGGCCACTTGCTCCTGAACCCCCACTCAGTCAGTCTCTCCTGGCAGCTTTTTTCCAGAAAGAACTTTGCTGATTTTTTTTTAATGGCGCTCAGCTTCTGTGCCCCAGGAAGCGCTAGGGACCAAGCAGAGCAGCTGTAACACCAGTTTCTTTACCAGGAGATCCCTGGCCATTTGCTCCCAAGCTCCCACTTGGTCAGTCTCTCCTGGCAGCTGCTTCCCAGGAAGGACTTTGTTGATTAGGAAAAAAAGGTGCTCGGTTTCTGCATCCCAGGAAGCACTAGGGTCCAAGCCGAGCAGTGACGGCACCAGCTGCTTCACCAGGAGAACCCTGGCCACTTGTTCCTGAGCATCCCACTCAGTCAGCCACCCACATGCCCACTTAATCACCAATAAGGACGCAAAATTTTCCATACACTCACGCATGCAGACTGGGACTTGCATAGTTCAACTGGCTCTGCCGCCATCTTCTTTTAACCAGCCTGAATTTTTAAAAATGCTTTTTCTGCATATAATTTTATTCATCTTTAACTTGTTAATATGGTGGATTACATTGACTTTCAAATTTTGAATCAGCCATGCATCTCTGAAATAAAGCCCACCTTTGTTGTGGCGTTTAATTCTTTTTATATATTGTTGAATTATGTTTGCTAATATTTTGTTAAGGATTTTTGCATCTGTATTCATGAGAGATTTTGGTCTGTAGTTTTCTTTGTTTTGAACTGTTTTATTGATCTTTTTTTTTTTTTTTTTTTTTTTTGAGTTTGAGTCTCACTCTGTCACCCAGACTGGAGTGCAATGGCTGCTCCTGGCCACCACAGCCTCGACCTGCTGGGCTCCGGCGATCCTTCCGCCTCAGCCTTCCAAGTAACCGGAACTACAGGCGCATGGTACCAAGCCTGGCTAATTTTTGATTTATTGTAGAGATGAGGTCTCGCCAAGTTACTCAGGCGGGTCACGAACCCACGGACTCTGGCAATCCACTCACCTCGGCCTCCCAAAGTGCTGGGATTACAGGCTGAGCCACCAAGCCCGGCCAGTTTTATTGATCTTTCAAAGGATCATCTCTTTGTTTCGTTGGGGCTTTTTTCTATTTTTCTGTTTTTAATTTCATTGATTTCTTCTCTTTATTATTTTGTTACTTCTACTTGCTTTGATTTATTTTGCTCTCCCTTTTCTAGGTTACTGAGGTGAAAACTTAGATTATTAATTTGAGGCTTCTTTTTTAACATATGCATTTAGTGTTATTTTTCTTTTCTTTTTTTTAAAGATTAAAAAATATAGTTTATTTAGAAAGTAAATTTGAGAGAGAGAGAGAGAGAGAGGAGATTTACCTCCCCAAGGTAGGGGAGGGGGCCAAAGCTTAAGAAAACATGGCCAGACCATAGCTCAAAGAGCACATGGCCAGATCATATCTTAGCAAGGCAATGACTTAGCATTGTTTTTCCGTCCTGTTTTAACTGTTTCACACATTTTGAACGTTGCCCTTTCATTTTCATTCAAATTAATGTATTTTCAAATTTCCCTTGAGATTTCTCTTTGACCTTGAATTATTTAGAAGTTTGTCATAGGTCTTTCTGTTTCTCTGGTCATATTGTTGAGGTTGTTTTATGACTGACGATGCATATTCTGTTGTTGGATGAGTGTTACATAAATATTAATTTGATCCTGTTGATTGTTTGTGAGAGTATCTTTGCTGGTATTTTGTCTAATTGTTCTATAATTGCTGAGAGATGGGAGTTGAAGTCTCCAGCTGTAATTGTAGATTTATATGTTTCTCCAATTAGTTTCATCTGGTTTTGCCTTGAATTTTGCAAACCTATTGTTTGGTGCATATACATTTAGGATTGTTATGTCTTATTGGTGGATTTGCCCTTTTATCATTTTGTAATGTTCTTCTCTGTCTCTGGTAATTTATAAGGCTGCACCTGGCTAATTTTTTGATTTTCTGTAGAGACAATGTCTCACTGTTTTGCTTAGGTTGGTTTTGTTTGTTTTTTTTTTTTGAGTTGGAGTCTCATTCTGTCGCCCAAACTGGAGTACAGTGGCCAGGAGCGTAGCCTTCCAAGTAGCTGGAACTACAGGCACTAATTTTTGATTTATTGTAGAGATGAGGTCTCGTCAAGTTGCCCAGGCGGGTCTTGAACCCGCGGACTCAGGCAATCCACTCACCTCGGCCTCCCAAAGTGCTGTGATTACAGGCTGAGCCACCGAGCCCGGCCTAGGTTGGTTTTTAACTCCTGGGCTGAGGTAATCTTCCTGCCTTGATCTCCCAAAGTGCTGGAATTACAGGCATGAGCCACTGCAACCAGCCTTAAAATGAGAGTTTTAAAATAGACAGCATATAGCTGGATTGTTTTCTTTTTTAATCAGCTTTTTCAAGTTCTGTCAATTGGTATTTTAGATCATTTGCATTTAATGTACTTATTCATATGTTGGGGCTTAAACTGGAACTTTATTTTATTTTTGTTTTTTGCTTACTTTTTTTGTTTTTGTTTTTTTCCTGTGGGTTTTTCTCTTGTTTGTTTGTTTGTTTTTTGAGTCAGAGTCTCACTCTGTTGTCCAGGCTGGAGTGCAGTGGCACACTCATGGCCACCCCAGCTTCAATCTGCTGGGCTCAGGCTATCCTTCTGCCTCAGCCTTCCAAACAGTCAGAACTATAGGCACTCGCTACCACACCCAGTTAATTTTTTGACAGATTGTAGAGATGAGGTCTCACCAAATTGCCCAGGCTGGTTTCGAACCCCTGGGCTCAGGCAGTACTCTTGCCTCAGCCTCCCAAAGTGCTGAGATTACAGGCTTGAGCCACTGTGCCCAGCCTGTTTCTGTTTTTAATTTCTTTTTTTTTTTTTCCTGTTTCCTTGTACTTGAACATTTAATTTAATCTTCATTTATCTCTACTGTTTTGAGTATTGTATCTTTATGTAGCTTTTTAAATAGTTCTTGGTATTGCATATGTCTTAATTTAGATTCTTTAAGATGGAGAGTACCCTCCATTGATTAGGAGAGACACAAGATGAAAATAAAAATTTTACTACTGATTCATGGCATACTTGGAGACCACACATGTAGAGATCGGGGAGCGCAGGCAGGGACTGAAAGTGGGAGGGGGACTCATGAGCCAGTTACTTCATTGGCGGCCAGGATGTCATCCCAGCGGGTTTTCTGTGGGGAGTTTTCATTTATGAGTTGAACGCAACCAGGTACAAGTTCCAGGAGGTCACACAGTGACTGACAGGTAGTTACTGTGGCATATCTGCACACATACCTCCGAGTGGGGTATCAGGATCAGTAAGGCAAGTCCAACAGGCTGCATTCAGCCGTCTAGTTGACAGTGATGGTGGAGCAGTGAGGAATTGAGAGCAGGTACTCCCGCTCTGTACAGGGATGTTTCTCAGTGCCAGAAATACAGCATGATCTTATGTTCTTATATGTTTTAGAAAAATATGCAGTCATACTTGAATAATTTTTAAAAAATTGTTTATAAAGTATTACGTTTTAATTTGACATGCTTTTAACTTCATTTCTTTAATTAGCAGAAAATTCACTTTTAATTTATATATTTGATCATGGCATTTAAAATAGCTATTTTCTGAATAAATATGCTAAGAGTGTACATATTTTTAACAGCACTCAACTATGACATCAACATTGAGGAGATTGGGTGAAGACATATTTAAAGGAGTAGGAACAAAAGGAATTCAGGATACTTCTTTAGAGCATTCTGTGGAGAATAAATCAAAGACAGCTGCTTTTTTTAGGAGCTCCTATTTGCCATTGAGATTTTTATCAACCTTAATTGTTCTCAAAACAGTCACTCAAGGTAAGCTTTCCAGTGTGCAAGGTATAATTTTAGTAAATAGCTTGGAGAGTAGCCTATATACTATACAACAAAGCAATTGTTTTATAGTCAAATATGTTTCACATTTTCAGAATGTAGGTAATTTTGAGTGTTTCATAATGGTGGCACCTTACAAAACACTACTTTTATTTGCTGAATTTGCATGAATGAAGTCTTTAGTTGGATGTTGCCTCCTCCCAGAAGCCTTTGTTTCTTCTCTTAGGTTATGTTCCTATTAACACCCTTTACTTACAGCCATTTGTATTTGACACACAAAATGGAAATTGCTAGTTAGTTTATTATTTTCTGCTAGCAAGTAGGTTAGCAAACTATAGTCCATGGGCAAAATCTGGTATCACGTGTTTTTTCAATAAGGTTTTCTCCCACAGCCATGCTCGTTTGTTATACAACAGCAGAGTTGAGTAGTTTGGTGGCAGAGATTATGTGGTCCCCAAAGCCTGTAATATTATTATCTGGCCCCTTCTAGAAAATGTTTGGAAGTTTGTTGAGGAAAAAATGTGTCTTGTCTACCCTTGTATCCTCCTGCACTTGGCATGGTGTATTTATAATAGTGAAGAAGAAAATAGGTGAATTAAAAATAATTCTTCAATCACTGTTTACTCTAACTAATATGGTTTTTATATGTAGCTACAGTTAGTTATTCTTTTTAGATTGTTATGTGTGAGAATTTTTGTTAAAGTGAGTCATGCCAATGTAGACAAACAACATCATCTTTCTGTCTTGCCTGTTTGTTAAGTTATACAACTTGGATTTTTTTTAAATGACAGTAATTCAACTTGACTTTCTTCTTTGAAGTGTGTTTTATTAGCTACTCCTTGTGGTGTGGAATTGATGAAAAAGCAAACAGTGATCTAATTTTGCTTTTTTAGTTATTTTGCCTCCTTTTGATTTTGGTTCTCAAAGTTATAATAGACTGAGTGGTGAATGTTTGAAAGGTCACTTATGAAAAAGTAGCACATACTATCCCAAAATAAAGTTCACTACAGGCCAGTTTGAGAAGCTTCAAAAATAAACACACACACACACACCCACACACACACACACACACACACACACACACACACACACATATACATATACACATACAAATAGATTCTGAATAAAGTTTTAGCTGACCAATTATAGCCACACATTAAAAAATATACATATTTACTGGAGATCAAATGAGGTTACTATCAGGAATTTCAAGCCACTTTAATATAAGAAAAAATGTTAACCTTTAATCGTTGAATTAATGAGATATCTAAAATAATATATCAGTATATATATGATAACATTATTTGATAATACATAACGTTCATTCCTGTGATAAAACTCTAAAAAAAAGGCAAAAATGCAATGGGGATATTTACTTGAAATGGGGGCACTAGGTACTCCCTGTCACCACTTCTGTGCAGCGCAGTATTAGACAACCATCTGTAATGAGCCGTGAAGAAGTGAAGGGGGAGCATCGAAAAGGAGTGGAGACAGCTTTCAGCCTGTGGGTACTCTATATTAGTTGAAAGCACTTAAAGGAATGCAACAGACACAAAGATATGGATGAATAATGGATGAATACATAGGTTGGTGAAGATTACTGTTGAAGTTGAATGTCAGAAATGAAGGACTTTTATTCCTCTTACCTGTGAAGACCAACTATGTCAAAAATTAGAAGATGCCACACATAGCTTTGTGTAATACCAATTAAAATTCCAACGGAGTATGTAAGTTGGGAAAGTGATAGGAAAGTTTATATAGAAAAAAATTTCTAACAAAGCAAGTATGACAGCAAGACTAGGGCAGAAGCTTGCCATAGCAGACTTTAAAACAATCATAATATGTAATAATAAAAAATGAGTAATGATTGTGATTTAATGCATCAAAATAAAACCGTGGGATAGGAAATCCAGAAATGAAACAAAATTGACACTTTGACTGGTCGTCCTAGTGGCTCACGCCCATAATCCCAGCACTTTGGAAGACTGAGGTGAGAGAGGATTGCTTGAGCCCAGGATTTTGAGACCAGCCTAGGCAACATAGTGAGACTTTGTCTCTACAAAATTAAAAAATAAGCTGGGCATGGTGATGCATGCCTGTAGTTCCAGCAACTAGGGAGACTGAGGCAGGAGATAAGGCTGCAGTGAGCCGTAAGCTCTGTAAGCATGCCACTACACTTCAGCATCAGTGGCAGAGTGAAACTCTGACTCAAAAAAAAAAAAAAATGATGATGACAGTATGTAAAGAAATGTCAAACTTAAAACACCAAAAACAAAATTGGAACTTCATATTATTTGTTGAATTAATGAATTTTCTTCCTTTTGCAAGTCATTTTTTTAATAACACAGAATTATGTCAAGTGTGACGCTGATGATAGAATTAATAGACAAGGAGTTGACTACAGTTATTAGTTATTAGAACTATATTCCGTATGTTTCAGAATTTAGAGGAAAACATGAGCATGGTAAGGAGACACATAGAAGATATGAAAAGAAAAAAGACATCAATCAAATTTCTGGAGATGAAGAAACAGTGCCTGGGATTAAAGATACCCTGGAGAGAATTGGGTATTGAAACAAGAAATTAGTAAACTAAGACACATAGCACTAGAAACTCCACAGTGATTCACAGGGAGAAGAAAAAATATGATCGTCTTGAAGTCTGCTAGGCAAGCTTCTGCCCTAGGCTTGCTGTTATACTTGTATTAAGAAAAATCTATTAAAAAGAAAACAACATCAGTGAGTTTGGGGACAAAATTATACAGTCTGATATAGTCCGTGAAGAGGAAAGACAAAAAATGTCTCCAGAAATAATGGTCCCAGTTTTCTCAGCATAATGAAAACTATAAGCACACAAATCCAAGATGTGTATCCAGCTAAGGTCACAGTCACTCCTGTTCTCTCCTCCTGGGCCTTTACTAGACAACTGGGTGTCACCTCTCGCCTCCACACACTGGCCACTGGATTTCAGGAATGTGGCCTGAGCCCTGCTCTCCTGTTCACTCTCCTTGACCTTGCAGTGGCTTCATCACTGCTCCCTCAGCCACAGGCAGCCTCCCAGTCTCCTGGCTTCCCTCTGCCCTGTTGCACTCCCTTTGCACTTGCTGCCAGCAGTTCTTGCTCACGAGGCTCTTGCCTAGCAGATGTCCTCCCCACAGGCTCCTCAGTCTGGTGGCCTCAGGAAAGGCTGGAGACAAATCCCGTGGAACAAGGAAGAGATGTGAGAGTCCTTCTTTTCTTTATGGACTAGCCACTCCCAACCCAGGCACTAGCGTCTCCTGCGAGCCCAAACCTGGTGAGTCTAGGTTCTTCTGTGACCTGGGACCAAGGCCTGAGCTGCCACCTTTGAGAGAGAAGCCCGAATGCTGTGGGGCTCTGGGGAGAAGAGTGCTTCCCGATGGCTGGTCCTCTCTCCAGCCTGCCCGTAGGCGGGGTGTGCCTGCATGCAAGACCTGGAGCTGAGAAGGGCTGGACAGGGCGCACATGCCAGTGGACACAGGTATTCAAGGAGCCTTGGTCCTGGCTAGGCCCCAGCACATGCCAGCCCCCAGGAAGAAAGGTCAGAGCCCGATGGCTCCCAGAAGCTCTGTCAGATGCTGTCATGATCCAGGTGGTCAGAGTGAGACCCAGGAAAGGAAATGTCCTCTGTCAGTAAGACTCAGGCCTCCTGGTCCAGTACTCCCTGGCAGATGATCACCACACATTTACAGCCCTCACCCTAGGACCCTGATGCAAATTGCTGGCCAATGCGGTGCCTGTTAAGAGGCCCCGTGGGGTTGCGTTTGGAGGAGACTGAGGTTGGCAGCATCCTAACGCTGATGTATGAGTCAGGAAAGAGTTACATCCTGAAAAAGTCCCTGAACTTGGAAATATTATTTTAAATGGGTGCTTCAGAGATTTAAAAACTGTGCCAGCTTTCATGGGAAATAAGAGTAAGAACCCAGAGAGGCCCCCAATCCTTTGATTACTACTTTAAAAAGATATCTACATGTTTATATGGTACATCTTAGTCTATGTCATGGGAAAGCAGCTCTCTGGGCTAAAAGATAGATGCACCTCAAGAAAAAAAGAAGGGCCATTGTGGTCTGTAGTTCAGAATGTTTGGGAAATTTGAGGATAAGCAAAGTTTAATAATTTCATTAATGGCCTATTGAGCATTATAAATCTCTAAAACTTGAACATACTGTATGCAGCCTTTCCCAGACGTACTTAACTTCCAAATCCTTCTTGGAAAAGCAATATGCAGGACTAATTTTCTGAGGAAGACAGGGAAATACTGTCTCACAATATGGGGTATCCTTGTAATACCTTGTGAAAATTCACATTACCCCGAGGAATGTGTTTTCTATTCCTGTTTTATAAATAAGAAGCACCTTCCTATTTTTAAATAGAGAGAGAGAACAGATGTTAAGAAAGGTGGGTGGCTCTGAATTCACATCAGTATCAAATTCCAGAGCTGATCGGCTGTTTCCTTTTTTACTTTGTTTCTACTTTCATCGTCAGGTGCTCCAAAGAAGTTGGGTAGGCTGAAAGTTGGAAGGAAGTCCTTGCATCTCAACTTTTATAACCTTGGGACATAGCAAAGAAAGTAAAAGAGCTAGGAAAGGAAACAGTAATCTGGTAAATACCATGAGGAAAAATGATTGTGAACACGGAGGAAAAGAAAATGTAGATATACTGCCTTATCGTGCACTGCAGTATGTTCTGGGAGAACTAAAAATTCAAACATAAGAAACACTCTTACATCAGATCAGTAGACTTGACTCTGGTAAGAAGGTGTTTCCTATTTATAAAACAGAAATATCAGTTATAAGATTGATAAATTCAGTAGAATAAATATAAAAACGTGGCAGATAATATACATAATATTAAATGCTTAATAGCCCAAATATATATAGATCTATACAGGTAATACCTAGTTACATTGAGTAGATTGTTCATGTAAAAATCAGCACACATCATAATACTTGGTATGATTTAACACTG